GTTCGGACAGCGCAAAGCTTCACTCAAAGCCCCACACCAGGCCAGTGCGATGCCGAGCGTCGGAGGTCGACAGTCTCCCGGGCATGGCTCTCCCTCCCGTCGCGGCGATGGAACGCAGTGTTCCGAGTGGGCGAGATTGCTTTTCATGCGGAGTTTGCTTGGGCAGCGTTGCCTCGAATAGGGCACAGCTCGGCAAACTCGCCCTTTCGAGGCCAGCCCCGCGAGCCTCCTGCCGGTTTCGGCGAACGGTCGGCGTCGCAACCATGTCTGCCCCTTGCTTCCGCCTCAATGAACGTCCCGCCTCAACCCTGGACGAGGCTCTCGCCCAACGCTCTCCACACTCCGGCCCTCATCGCGCGAGGGCAGGCAGTCGTGCGCATGCATGCGCAGCGCACGCCGGGCGCCGCCTGCCCTGCAGCTGCTGCCGCTCAGGCTTGGCTCAGCTCCTCCCGCTACGAACGCGCGCACGCCTCTCTCTACCTTTGCTGGTTGCGCGCGCTCTTGCTACTCCACCCTCTTGTCTGTCGTTCACGCTCAGTCGCGCGCCTGGTCACCTCGACGCCGCTCGACTCGGCACCCCCTCTCCCTCTCTTCTCGGGTCCTCAAGCGCCTGTGCTGGTCGCAGCGTCGCACCCACCCACACTCCTTTGACCCTTTCGCTCTCGCAACGCCAACTCGCCCTCTCGCCCGTCGCTCACCCGCACCGGTCCGCACGTCAAGATGCACCTCCCGTCCCTTCTTCCCCTCACCTTCCTCTCAGTTTGCGCCACCACCGCCCTCGCGCACGCCGCGCCGCCCAACCCAGACCAGCTCTATGCCCTGCAGAAGTCGGCGCAGTCGGTCGCGGCGGCCGAGGCGACGCCAGCCGTCCGGCGGACGGCGTCGCGCTCGAACCGGTCGGGCGAGAGCGTCGTCAGGCGGCATCACTACATCCAGGGGATGCACCACGGCCGAGGCATGGAGAAGCGCTCGGTGGAGCGTCGCCAGCCGGCGGGGTCGCAGCGCCTTGGAGGGAGGGACGAGGACCTCCGCGAGCGCGAGCGCGAGCGCAAGCGGCGCAGCGTCGTCGACTCGTCCTCGACGGTCGACGACCTCGAGCGGCGCGACGACCTCGAAGCGCGTGCCTCGGAGCAGTACCCTCTCGCGTCGAGCGGGTCGGCCAGCTACTGGCGCGGCGTGTCGTCGTACTACCTCCACTCGCTGTACGACTCGGACCGCGCCGACGTCCTCGACGCGATCAAGGGCGCCGGGTTCAAGGTCGTGCGCATCTTTGTTGCTTCGGTCGGCGCGAACAACAAGGGCAGCAGCAACCGCGCCGTCAACGACGGTGCGTCCGGCTCGTCTCTTGACTCTCATGCTCGCCTCGAGCTCACCCTTCTCTCCCATCGCAGTGGAGCCTTTTGCTGTCGGCACGTACGACGACACCGTCCTTGAGCTGATCGACCAGCTCATGGTCGACTGCAAGCAGCGAGGTGCGTCTAATCCTTCTCCGCTGGTCCTGCTCGACGACCCCGCTCACTCTCCGTACGCGAGCACACTGCAGGCCTCAAGCTCATGATCGCCCTCTCCGACCGCTATGCCCTCGGCTTCTGGTCGACCGACTCGTACGCCACGCAGCTCAACATCGTTGCGGCAGGCTCGAGCGGCGTGCAGAAGGTCGCGAACGCCGCCTCGTTCTACACAAACGCGTGGGCGATCCAGAAGTTTGAGAACCGGCTCTCGCACATCATGAACCACAGGAATTCGTTCCTTGGCGGGCAGAAGTGGGCCGACCTCGACGAGGTGATCTACGCTGTCGAGCGTGAGTCGCCTGTTCGACCCGCTTCGCCTTACTCGCCACTCCTGACACATCTCTCGTCCGCCCCGCGCAGCTCAAAACGAGCCACAGGGCGTAAGTTGTGTGGCCTCTCTGCACACAGCGAAGTCGGCTGCTGACACCGAGCTCTGACATCCTGCTGCAGCACATGGCTATGGCCTCGTCGACCTGGGCGTGCGACCGCGCCCACTACCTCAAGTCGCTCATCTCGTCCAACATCAAGGTGTCGAGTGGCGGAGGCATCACGACCTCTTCGTCGCTCGGCTCGTGGGCGACGGGCTGCTCGGCCTTTGACGTCGTCTCGGTGCACGACTACGGCACGTCGGCGTCGGCCACTGCGGGCGCACTCGCCGCTGCCAAGGCTGCACACCCGGGCAAAGAGATCATCATGGGTGCGTGTCCTCTAGTGGTGAGATGCTCGCAAGTCGGAACGGGGGCTGACCTCTGCCCGACCTTCGCAGGCGAGTGGGGAATGGCCGGCGCGAACAAGGCAGCGATCATCTCGCAGTTCGTCAACGCCTTCAAGGCGCAGGGCATCTCGAACATGTTCTGGCAGATCACCAAGCCCGGTGCGGGCGCGCGGGACTTTGAGGTGCGCCCCGTCTCCCGCTCACCTCGCCCAGGCTCGTGAGCTCCGCCTGACCCTCGTTCGCTGCCACGCAGGTCTGGACTGGCGAGGCTGCGTGGAAGGCTCTGACCGGTCAGGCCTTCACCGTCGACGCCGCACCCGCCGAGACGACCTCGAAGAAGGCCGCCACCGCCGCCGCCTCGTCATCGTCGAAGGCTGCCGCCCCCTGGTCCAAAGCTGCCGCCTCCTCGTCGTCCAAGGCCTCTGCGTCTTTCTCCAAGGTCGAATCGTCCCGCGTTGGTACTACGACGACCAAGGCGCAGTGGGCTTCTGCGACGTCCGCCTTCTCCTCGTACGTTGCCAAGGCGTCGTCGTTCGCAGAGGAGGGCAAGTCGCGCGCCGCGTCTGCCTACTCTGTCGCTGCGACCAAGGTCGAGTCTGCTGCTGCAGAGGCGACGAGTGTGGCAGCCTCTGTGTGGTCCGACGCCGCTGCCGGACAGCGCCAGGCCATCGTCAGCTCGCTCAAGGGCGCCCGCGCTTGAGCCCTCTCCCCCTTTCTTTGTCCTGCTTCTCCCCTAATCCATCGTCAAACCTCTGTCTCCTTGCCCTCTCGTGTCTGTATCACTGGCCCCTGGCCGCCCAACCTGTAGCTTTCCCTGGCCCCCCTCAGCTCCCCTTTACGCCGCTAGCAGAGGCCGCCTTCGCTTTGACGCTCCCCCCGTTTGCACGCGTTTGCATCGTCGTCGCGCTCGTCCATTCTACAGTAGCGAGGCCAGTGAGCGCGCGCAGGATCCGTCGGACCCGGCGCCCCACACGTTGTGCGCTCATCGGCTCGCGCTCGGTCGGCCACGTCTCCCCCACTCTCGACCCGACACCGCTCGCAGCTCGACCCGCACTCCGGCCGCTGCGATCCCTCCACCGCCATGAGCATCCCTTCGCACGTCCTCGAGCTGCTTCAGCCACTCCACCCGCCAGGCACCGACTTTGTGCGCTCGGGCGACCGCATCTCGCCGTCGACGTCAGCCTCCTCTTCTGGCTCCTCCGAGTCGCGCCTGCAAGAGTACCTCTACAAGGCCGAGGCGGGCGACGCTACCCAGCTCGTGGGCGAGGCGGCGAGCTTGCGAGCCATGAACGAGGCATGCGCCGAGGTCGCGCCGACGTTGCTCGGGAGTGGGACCGACGACGAGGGGCGCAAGTGGATGCTGTCCGAGTGGCACGGTGCGCGCTTTCTTTTCTCCGTTCCTCTTCGCTGCCAGAGACACGGCTGACAGGCCTCGAGCAGACCTGGCCTCCATCTCTGCAGCCCAGCAGAGCCGGCTCGCCGAGATGGTCGCGCAGATGCACCTGGCACCTGCGCCCAACGGGCAGCGCTTTGGCTTTGCCGTCCCGACTTGCTGCGGCGCAACACAGCAGGACAACAGTGAGGAGGACAGCTGGGCAGAGTTCTTCAGCAAGCGGAGGATCGGCGACCTCGTCGAGCGCATTGAGGACTCAGAGCTCGACAAGCTCGGCAAGGAGGTGCAGCAAAGGTGAGTGGGCCGTGCTGGCTCCTGGACAGGTCCGAAGAGCTGACTCTCACGCACTCGCAGAGTCATCCCCGAGCTGCTGGGCAAGTTGGACGTCAAGCCCTCGATCCTGCACGGCGACCTTTGGGTGCGTCGCGTTCGCGTTCTCTCTTCGAGGCTTTCGTCTGACCTTCTTGCGGGCACAGTCGGGCAACGCGCGTTATTCGAAGAATCGCGATGAGCCCATCACCTTTGACCCTTCAAGCTACTACGGGCACAGCGAAGCCGAGTGAGCCGCCCATTCTGCCTTTCGAGACTCGGAGGTCCCAGCTCTCGTGATCCGCAGCGCATCAGAGCTGTCCTGCCTTTATGTGCACAGCGCCTGTGCACCTCAGCGTGCTGAACTGGTCAAGCTCTGCTCGCGCGCAGCCTCGGCATCACGAGGATGTTTGGCGGGTTCTCGCCGGCGTTCTACCAGCGCTACCACGAGCTGGTGCCCAAGACCGAGCCTGCAGACCAGTATGAGCAGCGTATGCAGCTGTACGAGGTGTTCCACCACCTCAATCACACGCTCATGTTCGGGGTGCGGTCCGCTCTCACTCTCCGGTTACGCTTTCTTTCTGCGGTTACTCACGCTTGAGCTTCCTGTTAGGGCTCGTACAAGAGCGGCGCAGTGTCTCTACTGGAGGGTCTGCTGCATTGGGCTGACCAGAAGGGGCTGTAGGCTGACGAGGAGAGGGTGCAAGAGCGCTCGTCAAGCCCGCTGTCTGCCTCCTTGCCACACCCGGCCGGAAGCTTGCGTGCTTCAAGAGTACTTCAAGGAATCTCTCTGAGGCTCTGCCGTGAGGGACACCCCCCCTATGCAGCCCTCAACCTTCCCAAGCTGAGCCTTGCCGAGTGTGCGCTTCCTGCATGGTGTGCTGCCCAGCTTGCTGTCTGGTGACTGACATCTTGCTCGTTGCAGCCCTGCTACTGGATCAGTGTGTGCCCAAGTCAAGGTCGTGGAAAAGGCACAGGGGAGTCTGCGCTGGACCGTACAGCCGCATCTCGCTCTTGCCCTTACTTGCCGCGGCTACTGTACGCTGCCTGGTCTGCTCAAAGCCTTAAGAATGCCTGGATAGTTCAGAGGCAGAATCCCCGCTTTGGGTCATTATACCATTTAGCAGCTCGTCTTGCGTGCGGGAGGTCCTGGGTTCAATCCCCAGTTCAGGCCCTTGCTTCCTTTTTGCTGCAGCCCAGGGGCATCGATGCCATCGAGCAGTTTTGCTCCCCCGGTGCCAGGACGTACACCTTTGCTTGGCTTTGCAAAGCCGTCTATGCTTGAGTCGAACCCTGCTTGCCCTACGCTGGGTTCCTCTTGGCTGCAGTCGATCCGAGTCTTCGCAGAGTAAATCCTCTCTGTGCCGCGAAGGAGTCACCTCTCTCTGTCAAGCTGCGGCCGTCGCCCCTCGGGTCGTCAAGCCGGAGCGCCGGGACACCGACCTTACCTGCTGCTGCCCCGGGTCGCAGTCGGAACTCGCGCCGTACTGGCCAACCCTCCTGTCGAGAACGGACGCTCGCTCGGACAGCACGACGACGCGCACGCACGAGTGGCGAGTTGAATCGCCTTTGTTGCACTGACTCGGGGACAACCACAGAGAGGAGAAAGAGACAAGACGCGTCACGAGCCGGGTCCGCAGCGAGCCGAGCGAGTCGACCCACACGCGAACTCGCACGCTCAGGCAGCGAGCTTCTTCTCGCCGCTCTTGAAGCCGACGACCTCGCCGTCTTCAATCTCGACGGCGTCGTAGAGCTTGAGGGCCTCGAGGGCGGCCTTCTTGCCCGAGAGGAGCCTGCACGGCGAGCGCTCGAGGTCAGCAAGAGAAGGAAGACGGACGACGGCACAGAGAGAGAGGTGACTCACATGGCGCCAAAGGTGGCACCCATGCGGCTGGCACCGTCGAGCTCCTGCAAGAGGGAGAGAGGGGTGAGCTCTAGCCCAACGAGCGGAAACGAGTACGAGCGTCGTGACGACGCACCGAGAGCTCCATGCCGCCCGTGATCAGGCCGGGGAAGACCTCGCGCGTCTGGTTGACAATGTAGTCCTCGGCCGAGCGCATGTCGAGCGTGCGCATGTTGCCGAGTTTCTCGACCAGGCCCGTCGCGACGAGGCGCTTGACGGCGAACGCGCCAAAGGGGCCGCTGCGTGCGGTGCAATGGGGGGTCAGCGACGGCACGAGGGTTCAGCAGGCGAGGGCAGTGCGCACTCGTGGCCGGCAAAGGAGAGGACGATCGGGGCCGTGATGGTCTGCGGGTCCACTGCGGGAGGGGGGCGACGGGGGAGGTCAGCCCGGAGTCGCCCGCCAATGACAGACAACGAGCAACGCACTGCAACTCTGGAGACCGTGCGCGAGCGTCACCAGAGTGAAGTTGGTGACGACGCCGGCAATGCGGACGCCGCCCGGGACCTTGGAGAGCGTGTCGGGGCGCGTGATGAGGTCCTCGACGGCCGTGGCGTTGAAAACTGCATCGGTTCCGAAGGGTCAGTGGTGTGTGGCAGCGCGGGAGGGCAACGGGGAGTGTAGGCCCGCCGAGCGAGGAACGGGACCAGAGGAAGAGGAAGAGGGGAGGGGGAGGGAAGGAGGACGACGCCGACGCACGCTTGACGTTGGGGAACTATGACCGCCGCGAGCGCGTCGTAGAAGATTCGTCGAGAGAGACAGAGAACCCGAGAGCGGGGGCAAGACCGAGCACGAGCGTATCAGCGAGGGGAGGACTGGGAGGGGGGGGTGGGTGGGGAACACGTTCAACGCATGGCTACGCAGGCATTATCCTGAACAGCTTGTGACCGTCTAATCTCAGCATACTCCCTGTCCAATCGACTGAGCACACCTCGAACTCGCCCGCCTCGTGTGCAACCCGAGCACGACGC